AACATATTTTTATGTTCCAGGCCCCATCTTCATTTCACCAAGTTTCTTTTTTTCTATTTGATTTATTTAGTCTCTATATGTGGTTAGAGGTTTTGCTACAGCGTCAGATGAGCCCTATTTGTATGCCCTTTTTAAAAAGTGATTCTGTAGGGCTCGGCGCCCATAGCACAGTGGTTATGGCACCAGCCACATACAACAAGAGTGGTGGGTTGAAACCTGGCTCAGGCCAGCTAAACAACGACAACTGCAACAAGAAAATAGCTGGGCACTGTGGTGGGCGTCTGTAGTCCCAGCTACTTGGGAGGCTGAGGCAAGAGAATCGTTTGAGCCCAAGAGTTTGAGGTTGCTAGCTGTGACGCCATGGTACTCTACCAAGGGGGACATAGTGAGACTCTGTCTCAAGAAAAAAAAAGAAGTGATGCTGTAGGCTCGGTGGCTGTAGCTCAGCACCTAGGGCACCAGCCACATACACCAGAGCTAGTGGGTTCAAATCCAGCCTGGGCCAGCTAAACAACGACAACTGTGTAGCAGCCCATATAGCCTATGGCTAGGCGGAGTGTGAGTTATAAGAAACACCTGTATAGCTCAATAATGGAACACCGTGGTGAAAAGGGCATGGAGAGGGATTTAGCTCTCATAATAATGATGAGCGAGCTTGCGAGGTGAGAGCATTAGTGAATTGGCAGTCTCTACACCTGTGATGTTGAGAGGCGCAAGATCAGCCTTTTATTAGGCTGGAGGAGAAGGCAGTCGGGAGTGAGCTCATTCTATCACAGACTGCTCGCTCTAACTCTGTCCCTTCTCCTGCCTGCAGAACACCAGCATGGTGTCTTTCTGCTCAAGATCACTAAGCTCTGCTAAAGACTAAGATCTATCTCTCTAAGAAGACTGCTTTACTCTCTCAAAGACTATCTCTCTCCCATCTGCTAAAGTAAATAGCCCTCAGGCACCTAAGAGCAGTTGTTCCTGAGCAAGGTAGCTTAGCGGTCCATGTAGGTAAGCCGGGGCTGGAGACCAACCAGTCCCGGGCCCTGATAAGTGGCGCCCATGAAGGTACCCCTAAACAACTGCAACCAAAAAATAGCCAGGTGTTGTGGTGGGCTCCTGTAGTCCCAGCACTTGGGAGGCTGAGGCAAGAGAATCACTTAAGCCCAAGAG